TTTCTTTAGAGCACAATGACTATCTATATTCAACTTAGAACTCAAGAGTATCTCCAAGTAGACTTACAGGTCATTGCTCTCCACTGAAAGGGGAGTTCAGTTTTCTGTGGTGTTCCATGGCAGGTAGGAGATGCAGCACATAGAGTGCTGGGCCTAGAGTCAGGAAGATCTGAGTTCAAATCCAGGCTAAGACATTTACTAGTGGTATTAGAACTGGATAAATAGATCTGAGGATTATTGGCACAGAAAACTATTTAATCCATAGCATCACCAAGAGAAATAGTACAGAGGAAGAAGAATAGAGGGACTTGGATAGAGATTTGGAGGATTCCCAAAGTTAGTGAGAAGGACCTAGATGAAGAACTAGGACTGAATAGTGAGAAGTAGTGTCTAATAATAGATAGGAAGAGAATTAGAGGAGAGCACTATCATGGAAACTTAGAGAGAAGAGAGTTTTAAGGAGAAGAGAGATGATCTACAGTGTCAAAGGCTGCAACAAGGTCAAGAATGATGAGGATTTTAAAAAGGACAGTGGATTTGGCAAATAAGAGATCCATCATTGGTAATATTAGAGAGGGTAGTTTTGGCTGAAAGATTGGGTCGGCAGCCAGACTGTAGAGAGTTGAGAGTAAGGGTATTGATTGTAGAGCACTTTCTCCAGGAGTTTAGCCACAAAAGGGAAGAGACATATGGAACAAAGCTACCCGGGGCAGATGGATCAACTAGTTTTTTGAAGATGATGGCACATAGGCATATTTGAAGGTCTAGAAGGGTTGCTGGAAGATGAATTGTTGATAGGAGAGAGAAAGACAGAAAAGATAGAAAAAGACAGAGACAGAAACACAGAGATAAAGGCAGACAGAGACAGAGAGACAAAAAGACAGAAACAGAAACAAAAAGACAGAGAGGGAGAGAGATAGAAACAGAGACATACAGAGAGACACAGAAGCAGAGAGAAAGAGTAAGTATAGAGACCTTATCTAATTGAAGCCCCCTTAGTATTAGTATGCATTATCTTTGCCCCAACAGCCAATCTGCATTGTCAGAAGGAATTTCCTCACTGGGAGATCCTTATAGTGAATGACATAATAGATTTGGTCCAAAAAAGACCCCGGAAATAAGGTAGATGAAAGAAAAGAGAAGAGGAGAGAGAGAGAGAGGGAGGGCAGGGGGAAGGGAGGAAGGACTCTTCTAGAAGACTAAACAGTTGAGAACAATCCAACCTCTGGCAAGTCCTACAAAGATGAAAAGACTTCTAGGAAGGTAATTGAACGTGTCTGCTTTCTGAAGACCAACCTAACTGAAGAAAGGCTCAACACCAGTTTGCCACCGAGGGATGAATGTATACACATGTGTGAATAAATGTTTATTTACAGATCTACATATAAATTGAAATATATGTTTATATATGTGTTTACATAAATACATCTACATATGTATGTGTATTCAAATGGATCCATGATCTGTTCATTTTGAAAGTTTCAGCCTGCTACGATGCCGAACGCAACTCATCCATGCCTGACAGTCTTGCATGACTCTCATCCACGCCCTCCCAAAAGTTCACCATAGGAGCTCCGCCTGATACGCTGGAAGTCTTCATCACTTTCTCCTGACATCACTGGGGTACTAATGAAGCACTCTGGCTATCTACTTGTCATATCTCACTTTTTCCACGTGAGCAGCCTGTCTTCTCTTCCTTCCACACAGATCTTTGATAACATCTTTACTCCCACTCTTGCTCAGAGTTCCTTGTTGGTCATATGTTGCAACCTTCTCACACCCACTATGTGTGGGACTGCACCTTCGATACATAAACACATAAGCATGTGTGCTTTTAATAGATGCAGGTATGTATACTGCGGAAGGAGGAGAAGCAGCTGTAGATCTCTGGTGTAGTACAAAGAGAGCTAGCCCCAGAGTCAGAAGGATCTTCTGCAAGCCTCTTCTTTCATACATACTGGCTGTGTGAACACCAACCAGTCATCGCCTCTCACTGCCCCAAGGGCCAATCTGCATTGTTAGAAGGAGTTTCTTCACTGGGAGGTCCTTATATCAAATGACATAACAAATTTGGTCCAAAAAAGACCCTGGATATATAACTAGATGAAATAAAAGAGCAGAGAGAGAGAGAGAGAGAGAGAGAGAGAGAGAGAGAGAGAGAGATTGAGGAATAGAACAAATAGGGATGAGAGAGACAGAAGGAGACAAAGAGACACACACACACACACACACACACACAGAGAGAGAGAGAGAGAGAGACAGAGAGAGAGAGAGAGAGAGAGAGAGAGAGAGAGACAGAGAGACAGAGAGATTGAGAAACAGAGAGAGACAGAGAGAGAGAGAAGATAGAAGAGAGAGGGGAAGGGGAAGAAGGAAGAACAAAAGGAAAAGAAAGAGAGGGATATAAAGAGGGAAGGAAAAAGGAAGAAAGGAAAGGAGAGAGGAAGCAAGGAAGGGAAAAAGATACATACATAGATATATATCTATCGCACATTTGGTTTACATATATAGAAGGCCACAACTACTTACTTCAACACAATTACTTCTTCTATTACCTTGCTATGCCATCTCCCAAATGCCCCCTGTCTTTCCCAGGCATCAGTTCCTTGGGGTGTTAGGACCTAACCCATGACCCAGGTGATCTCAGCAGCTGTGTAGGTGCCACTAGGAAAACTCCTTCCCTCTCTCAGCCTACCCATAACCTATCCTGTACATTACCTCATGCTGTAACAAGCACCCCTGGGCTGGCTCTGGGCTCCAGGGCAATGGCCAGTGAGAAGAAAGGGCAAGGCCTTCACCCTCTTTCATTTTCAGTAGGATGGAGTGAGTCATATAGGATGAGCAGGAATAGATGGGTTGTTTTAGACACCGCAGATCTCATTCTCTTTCTATCTAAACTCATCCCTCTTCTGAACTTACCTCTTCTCTCTAGAGAACACAACTATCCTCTAGTCACCCAAGTTCACAACCCTGATGTCATCCTCAACTCTTCCCTCTTGCTCACCCTCCCCCATCAATCCAATCTGTTGCCAAATTTTGTTCTACCACTTCCAAGACATCTCTTGCATCTGTCCCCTCCTCACTGCTCACATTCATAGTTCTGGCCCTCAGCACCTCTCATCAGGACTATTGCAAGAGTCTCCTAGTGGATCATCTCCCCCCTCTAGTGTCTTCCTTCTCCAAACAATCCTCCCTACAGCCACCCATGGGATTTTCCTAAAACACAGGTGCTGATTACACCACTCGCCTACTCAAGTAAATTCCATCAAGTCCCTAAGATCTCACCTGCTTGGTGTTTAAAACTTTTGGCAACCTGTTCTCACTCTACCTTAGAGAGTCGTAGACTCTTTTACTATCTTTCAGCAAAACTGGACCTTATAAACAACGCGTTATCACATATTCTTGCCTTTGGACTTGCTAGTTTGCATGTTTCACCTTAGCTGGCCCCCATGCCTTAAAAGGCACTCCTTTCCCACCTCTGACTCTTGGACTCTTGTTTCCTTCAAAGGTCAGCTCAAGCACCACCTTCTGCATGAAGTCTCTCCATGCCCCTAAACCACCAGTGTCTTCCCTTCCCAAATTAGCATATATATTTATTTATATAGAGATACAGTTATAACATATTATGCTAATAGACTTCTTCATAATATAAACATTATATACATATACTTACAATATAAATGTATACATATATTTATAATATAAATGTATATATATTTATGATATAAATACATATTTATAAGTATACACATATTTATAATATACATATATGCATATGTTCATAATATATACACATTCATATACATATAATATACATATATGCATACAGATATTATGTACATATATGCTTATAGTTATAATACACATCTACACATATATTTATATGCTTCTCCCCCATAAGAACATAAGCTCCATGAGGGCAGAGTCTTTCATTTTTTGTCTTTATATGCCCAGTACATACATTATTGGGCACATATTAGGTGTATAACAAATGAATATTGATTGATTGATTGATTATTGGAGGTAACTTCCAAATAGATGAGATTGCAGATCCATTTGGAGGTTTCTGACATTTACCTGCTTGGTTTCAATGCCTACAAGCTTAGTTGAGTCCTTGAATTCATGAAACAAGCCACAAGAAGAATAATATATTATTTCATTTGAAAAATGATGTGAGAAGAGATATATAATACACTGAAAAAAAAATTGCAGGGTTGTACAATCAAATATTGGAAAATGCCACGAGGGATTTTTTTTAATTCAGCATTGGCTGTCCCCCAGCTCCACCCCCATGCTGGGATGCTCTCCTTCCCAGCGATTGAGTTTTAGAATCTCCAGCTTCCTATAAATTTAGCTAAAGCGCTGATAATACCAGCTAGCATTTATATAGCGCTTTAAGGTTCGCACAGCGCTTTGCCTGTATTATCTCATTTGATCCTCATAAAAAATCCGGGCGGGGGAGGGGCAGGTGTTATTATTATCCCCATTTTATAGATGAGAAGACCGAAACTGGGAGAGGTTCAGTGACTGGCCCAGGAGCACACAGCAACAAGTATCTGAGCGCTAAATTCAAACTCAGATATTCTTGATTCTAAAGCCAGCGCTGGGGACTTAAGGAAAAGATATAAGCTATCTTTAGAGGATAGTGGGATAATAATAGCATCTACTTCATAGGTTTATTGGGAGGCTCGGATGAGGCAATATTCGCAGAAGCACTTAGCACGGTGCCTGGCACGTAGTGGACATAATTAATGTTCATTCTCTTCTCCTTTCTCCTGTGCTCTAAGGGTCTCCAAAGCTCTGACAGCCATCTTATGCTCCACCACCCTTTCCCATCAACTCAGCTCTTTACTGAACAGTAAAGATCTGGGTGACGTTGGGAAGCACAGGCTTGAAGCCTATAAAATCTTAAAGCCCTATTTCTACCATACACCGACTCCCTCCTCTGCCCGCCCCCAGCTGTCATTCGGATCCTGCGGCCCCGCCCAGAGCTCTAGGGGTGTGGGATGGGCTGGGGCAAGTGCCCGGGCCAGTGTGGGGTGCCTTAAATTCTCCAAACTCTGATCGCTGTCCAGAGGAGTCAGATCTCCGGAAGGGAATCACAGCGTGCATAGGGACTGCAGTAACTCCTGCAGCAACAGAACAGGCCGTGAGTGGGGGAGGCTGGTCTAGGAGTGAGTGGGGGAGGCTGGAGCTCAGGTCTAGGCCCACTGGCAGCTGGGGATTCGAGGTGGGCGGTGGATTCATCCGCTTGGGGCCAGGATTGGGGAGAGGGGGGAAGCAGGGAGGGAAAGGGTGTCCAGGCCAGGCAAGGGCGGGGTGGGGGGGGAGGGGGAGGGAGACTGCCGAAAGAATCATGTAATCCAAACTACCTGGTCTCTTCTGCTGCCCAGATTAGCCTTTTCACTGGCTCCCAATCTCATGTCCCTTCCTCCCTCTTCCCCTACTGTCACCCGTTCCCCTACAGACCCTCACTCTTTTTTCAATTTCATCTCCACCTCCAGCATGCTCCTCTCCCAGCATCCTTCTCTTCCCACCAAAGGTCTCCCTTCCACAGGACTTTGTCTCCTCCTTCAGTGTCCACCTTATCTTCCTCTAGCCCCCTCAAGGACTCTTCCCAACCAACATTCCTCCAGCCTTCCCAGGAGGTCTCCTTCTCAGTTCCACCCTCCCAACTCAGTCCTCCTCTTCTCACGTTCTCTTCAGTATCTGGAGGCTGGGCTAGTTTTTTGGGTGTCAAGAGGGTGACTCATCCTGATGAGATGATCCCTATGATTCTTAATGTTTCCCTAATGGAAAAACATCCACTTCGGCACACCCAGCTGAAGTCCTCCATGATTTATCCCTACAGTCCAGCCTCCCTTTTGAAATTCCCATGAAAGTAGCTCCAGTAGGACTCCAAGTGAGGGTACCAACATACAGATTTGGACAAACAGTGAGTGCCATAGAACAGGTTTTTCTCCACTACACACTTAAGACATTATTCCTTGTATTTAACTGTAATCTCTCTTGATGTATTGGAGTTCCCTTTCCTAAGTAGAGACAGAAATAATTTCTTAGTTTTCATTAATGATACTGCTGTCTTCTTAGAGTTTGAGGGGAACTACTATTCTGGATCTGATTCTCACCCCAAAAGAACTGAGAGCTGGAATAATAGAAATCATGGGAAATGGGTGTGTGTGTGTGTGTGTGTGTGTGTGTGTGTGTGTGTGTGTGTGTGTGTGTATGTGTGTGTTTGGGGAGAGGATGTCAAGTAACCCTCATCTCCAAGTTTCTGAAAGAGAAAGAAGGGAAAACTAGAAATAGAATGTCGTGTGCCCTGCAGATTTGGAGAGCAGATTTCAAAGGGTTTGGAGAAAGGTTGAGTAGGAACCCACAGGGAAAGTCAGCCCAGGAAGAGTTGGTAAGATAGAAGAAAGACACACTATTCTGATGAAGAAGAAAAAGGGTAAATATCTAAAGCAGGTTTCTAAACTTGGGTAGATTTCAGAAGGTCTGTGATTCTATTTTTAAAAAAGACTTTTACAGCTATTTTAACATTTCTTTTGTTGTCTTAAGTATTTTATTTTATACATTTAAAAGTATGATTCTGACTAAGGGTCTATAGGCTTCACCAGACAGCCACAGGCATCCATGACACAAAAAAGGTTAAGCATCCATGGTCTACAGATACTGTTATGGATGCACAAATTGCTAATTAGCCAACTCAGATGTTTGAAAGACACATGAGATGGAGGCAAGGATGGGTAATAAAACCGTTCTCCTAATATCAGTAATGATAACTGGCAAAGAGAGCACTAAGGACAATAAAAGTGATATTTTAGAGGCTTTTTAAAAACATGTATCAGTGGGGCAGCTAGATGGCTCAGTGGATAGAACCTGGACTTGGAGTCAAGAGGACCTGAGTTCAAATCCAGCCTCAGACACTTGACACCCACTAGGTGTGTGACCCTGGACAAGTCATTTAACCTTGATTGTCTCACCAAAAAGTTAAATAAATAAAATAAATTCACATATCAGGGAAAGGCAGAAGGAAGGGTGGGGCAATGAAAATAAACAGTAGGAAGAAGGCAGACTAATTCAGCTTTTATTTTGCTTCTGATATCTCTACCAAAGTGAATGACCTCTGGAATGGAAAGAGGAGGACAAAAATGGCCAGTTGGGAGTTGATGCCCCAGATAAGTAGGGAAATAGTACGAAAGCTTTTTTATGAGTCTGTAGGTCTACATGGATGACATCTCAGAGGAATGAGCTGGTGGGCGGATCTGGGGAGCCACTGCCAGTGACCATCCAAGGATTCCTGTTAACAGGAGATGTATGGCAGGGCTGGGAAAGTTCCAATGTTCCAAATTTCAAAAAGCATAGAGACTGTAATCTGTAAACTCTAAGCAAGTGATCATGGTTTTGATTCCTGGCTAAGTTCTAAAACATGTTATTAAAACATATTAGACTTGAAAAAGAAGTAATTACAAAGAGCCAGCCTGACTTCATCAAACACAGGTTATATCAGATGAACTTAATTTTCATTTTCTGCCAAGGTACACTGGTAGATCTGGGGAGTTTTTTAGATACAGTTTGTCTGGATTTCCAACAACCATTTGACCAAGTCTATCAAGTTATTATTGTGCACAAGTTGGAAAGATGTGAGATGACAGACAGTATAATTAAGTGAATTCAAAAGCAGTTAAAAAACTAGACACAGAAGGATGATGATTCCATGTGAACTTGAGAGGGAACTTCTGGAATGCTTCCGGCATCTATTCTTGGCCCTTGCTGTTTGATTTTATTTTCAATTACTTTGATGAAGGCATCGATAACATGCTTACCAAATTTGAAGATAGCACAAGGTTGAGAGGTATTGCTAGCTTGACAGATGACAGGGCATAAAACATTCTACAAAGGCTAGAAGACTAGACCAAACCTAAAGTGATTAAACCTAAATGATAAGCCCTTAGAAAGACAGTTTAGAGTAGAGGATAGCTTAGTCAACTTAAAGTGAGGCAGACAGGGATTCAAATCCCACTTCTATCATTTGTTAGCTTGAACATGGGCAAATCACTTACTCTCCATGGAACTCAGGCTTAGCCTTGAACATGTATTTACTCAATTATGAACAGATTTCAATCTATGTGCATAACCCCTAAAGAGACTACCTTGTTCTTTTAGTCGTTTTTCAGTCATGTCCAATTCTTCGTGACCCCATTTGGGGTTTCCTTGGCAGAGATACTGGAGTGGTTTGCCATTTCCTTCTCCAGCTCATTTTACAAAGGAGGAAACTGAGGCAAACAGAGTTAAGTGACTTGCCCAGGGCACAAACCTATTAAGTGTTTGAGGCCAGATTTGAACGCAGGTCTTCCTGACTCTAGGCCTGGCACTCTATCTACTGCACTACCTAGCTGCCCCAAAGAGATTACAGCTCAGTCTGATAATGCTGAAAAAGACTACTGATTGGTATTATCACATACGGACATGACATAAATATAAAGCATTACACTCTGGTTCCAAAATCAGCTTTATAAGTACAAGATGGAGGAGGTAGGGTAGAGAATCATTTGTCTAGTGGATTGCAAATCCAATATGAGGCAATAATATGATGTATTTCCCATCCCGCCAAAAAAAAATAATTTTAAGCAATACTGAGAGGAACAGAATGCAGGACTAGGGAGGTAATAGTCACATACTGTACCTGGATCAGACCACATTTGAAGTTATTGTACTTGGTTATGGGGGCCATATTTTAGGGAGGTCATCTATAATCTGGAGAATGTCCGAAGGAAGGTAAGAGGTCTCAAGGTCATACTTTGTGAAAATTGGTTGAAGGAACTGGAAATATTTAGCCTGAAGAAAAGAAGAATCATTGAATGTGGGGCATGAGACCTATTTTCAAGTATCTGAAGGGATATCATATGGAAAATGGAATAGACTTGCTCAGCCTAGCCCCAAAGGGCGGAACTAAGAGAGAAGATGGATAGAACCTGAAGAAGCAGATTTAGGCTTAATGTTAGGAAATATTCCTAATGATTAGAGCTGTCCAAATGATTTTCCTTGGGAATATGGGGGAGATAGAGAACTCCCATCATTCTGTATCTTCACGTGAGGGCTGATTGGCCATTGGACAAGGATCATGATCAATAGCCAATCAGCCTTCACTTGAAGACACGGAATGGTATGAAACCCACTATCAGTTCAGATCTGGATTACAGTGGAAAGCTAGCTGGTGCAAGTGGATAGCATGCCAGGTCTAGAGTCAGGAAGACTCATCTTTCTGAGTTCAAATCTGGCCTCAGACACTTACTAGCTGTGTGACCCTGGGCAAGTCACTTAACGCTCTTTGCCTCAGTTTCCTCATCTGTAAAATGTGCTGGAGAAGGAAACGGTAAACCACTCCAGTACCTTTGCCAAGAAAACCCCAGATGGGGTCACGAAGAGTCAGACACGACTGAAATGACTGAACAGCAATAATGGAGATTTAGGACCTCGCTTCAAAGTCTGGCTCACCACTTATTGCCTTGGGTGATTTGCTTGGGCAATTTGCTTAACTTCTCTGGAACTCAGTTTCTTCATCCATGAAATGAAAGGATCCTTTCTATCCCTAAATGTAATAACTCTTGGCTGGAATATTCAAAGAAAGCCTACCTGTAGGCTTTGGGTCTTGAAGGAGGATTTTGATAGACATGGGGAAAATGGGGAAGGGTATGAATTGAAGTGGGAATGCATTAGGGTTGGTGATGAAGACAACTATAGAACTATTAACTCCTTCTTCTTGTTCCCTACAGCATCTCCTAGACTGAACAATCTTGCCTGTGGTTACCACCTCCTGCCCCAGCTCACAGCACCACCCTCCACACTCCCCCTCACCTTCAACCATGAAGTCCTTTTTAGTCATGTTCCTTGTAACCATCATTATGACCAAGCAACTTGGTAAGGGGGATGGATATTTCCACTTCCAGGGGTCACGATGGGATAGATGAGACATTCAGAAGTGGGCAAGGAGGTTATATGCTAGGATTCTGACCCCTCCCATCTCACCTCATTTTGGTGACTCCTTCCCAAAAAGGGATGCCAAGAATCTAGGGTGTTTTCCTTTGGATCAACATCAAGGAAAACTTCAGAGAAGTTTCAAAGGGGAATGAGCTGCCTCAGGAAATAGGGAGTTCGCCATCATTAGAGTTCACATGGAGGTGGAGGACCGTTTGTCAAGGATGTTTGGGAGGGGTTTGGGCCAGATGCCTCTGAAGTCTCAACTTTGAGATTTGGTGTTTTGTTTGTTTTGTTTTTTAACTATGGGAGAAGTACCAGTTCTAGGTCCTTGATGGGGTGGGAGGTTGGGCAGTGGAGGAGAACACAAGATGGGTGCTGCCATTTGACTGGGGATATTGGGGATTGTGATGGAAAAAAAAGTCTGCCCAGGGGCCCTCTCTCTGCTGAGAACGGCTGTAGTCAGAGCCCTAAAGTACCCTTGAAGGCTCATTAGAAGGGAGCATCTTTCCCCTTCTCAGGTCTGGCTGGGTCCAGGCAGAAGGGAGGTAAGATGGGAGATACTGGGCAGAATGGCCTCCAATGATTACTCATCTGTAACACTGTGGTTTCTATCTGACCTCTTTCAGCACAAGCTCTGGATTGCCACGTCTGCACAGCTAATGATAATGACTGCTTGAACCCAGTTCGTTGTCCAGGGCTAGTCATCTACTGCAAGACCATTCGGGCCTGTAAGTTAGCCCCTTAGGGAAGCTGGAGGTAGAGATAATGAGAATAAACCTTGATCTAGGACCTACTATATGCCGGGCACTGTGCTAAGCACTTTCTGAAATGTTATCTCCTTCGATCTTTGTGACAACTTGGGGAGGTGGGTGTTCTTATAATGCCCATTTTACAGTTGAAGAAACTGAGGCAAACAGGTGAAGTGACTTACCCAGGGTCACACAGCTCCAAGGTCTCTGAGGCAGGATAAGAAACTAGGCTGAACAAGCTAATGAACAGGGAGAGATAAAACAGTAGCTTCCTTGGGTGAGATGAGGAGGGAGGCAAAGCAGTAGAAGGAAGGATGGGGAGAGAACAGTAGATAATAAGAAGAGAATGAATGTGATCTTTGAAAGAAGGTTCTGTCAGAGGCAGCTAAGTGGCGCAGTGGATAGAGCACCAGTCCTGCAGTCAGGAGGACCTGAGTTCAAATCCAGACTCAGACACATAACACTCACTAGCTGTATGACCCTGCGCAAGTCACTTAACCCTGATTGCCTTAAAAAAAAAAAAGGATGTTCTATCTAAGAAATCAAGAATACTATTAATTGTAGTACTAATGGCATTATCTAAAGCAAGGGTGGGGAACCTGAGGCCTCGAGGCCTCATGTGGCCTTCTAGATCAAACTTAAGGATCTAGAAAGCCACATGTGGCCTCGAGGTCTCAGGTTCCCCACCCCCAATTTCTAAAGTGAGTTAAGGCTTGTCACTGCCCCATGTTGCAGATGAGAATTGCTGGGCATAATGGAGTGGGCTCTGGATTTAGAAATCTAAGATCTGGGCTTGTTACTTACTGGCTCTGTGACCTTGCCAAAGTCACTTAAGGTCCCCAGGCCCTGGTTTCTTTATCTATAAAGTGTGGGGTTTGGACCAGATGGTCTCAAAGACCCTAATTCCTGCTCTCGTTTACCTGGGTTCAGATCCAGGTTCTCTTGACTTGAAAGATTCATGGTTTGTGTAGCGGCTGGATTTGGTGACTTCTGAGGTCCTCTCTAATGAGATTCTAGTTTGGTGCATCAGATTGGAAGATCCGGAACAGTGAGCAGGGGGGTTGGAAATTTATTCTATGGACAGACAGGGAACCAGGGAGAGGAGGCCCAGGAAGGGGTTGAGCCTGAGAGACAAGACATGAGCTCCAGTCTGAGGGTTACATGTCCCGAAGATCCTGCAATTGGTCAGTGGATAGAATACCGGGGAGGACCAAAGTGGCAGTGTTATGGTGGGGGAAAGGAAAGGCAAAAGCCAATGACTCAACTCAATGTTTCGGATCGTGAGCTCTGCCCTAGCAGTACAGGGATGAAAAATGACACAACCTCTGCCTTCAAGAAATCTGCAGTCTAAAAGGCAGAGAGAGAATGTGTGCACAAATATATTTGATATGAAGAATGTGCTATTGAGGTTACCTAACAAGGGACCTGTTTGCTTATTGACTCTCCTCCCTCTCTGGTTGTGTTCAGACTCTCCAGCTGTGGTCTACAAATCCTGTGCGGCCAGCTGCACCAAGGACGGCGTGGAGGAAATCCAGATAAAACAAAATGCCAAGGTGTCCTGCTGCCAGACAGACCTGTGCAATGGGGCTGCCTCCCGCTCCTCAGGCCTCATCCTCACTGGGCTCCTCAGCGTCTTCTGGGGTCTGTTCACTCTTGGCCTCTGAGCTACAGCCAGTAGATACACAGATGGATAAACGGACTTCACTCCCCTCCTTTGGACTTATAGCTCTGCCTGGCTCCCAGGTGAGAGAGCGAGACTGCTCCCATCCTCCCCTCGTCACTAGACCCCACACAGAGCACTGGGCTGCTTCCAGCCCCACCTCCATCACGTACCACCCCCCTACTGGTATGTCTCTGTTTGGGTCCTGATTTTCCTATCAGTAGAATAGACCTGGCGATCTTCCTGATACCTGGGGGTGAGGGTGGAGGATGACTCTTATGATTAGATCTTGATTTGGAAGGGAATCACAGAATCAGACTTGGAAGGGACCCCAGCATCCCACGCAACCTTCATTTGAGCAGCAATCCCCTCTATGATCTCCCTGACGAGCTCTCATTCAGAGTTTGCGTGATGAGAAACTCACTAACTGTCTAGGCATCCCAATCCACTTTCAGAGAGCTCTAATTGGTAGGAAGCTTTTCTTTACATTGAGCCCAAATCTCCCTCTCTCTAATTTCTAGGCCTGGTTCCTAATTTTGCTCTCCAGGACCAAGCAGACCAACTAGAACCTATCTTCCACATGACAGGCCTTCACATATTTGAAAACAGCTATTATTTCCCCTCCTCCTCTCCCCCTGTAAATCTTCTCTTTTACAAGCTACAATCCACCCCAACCTCCATATCCCCGCCCAGTCCCTTCAACCAGTCCTTGCATGGCAGGGGACCTCAAAGATCATCCTAGCTGGCTTTCCAGTTACTTTGGGGTTTCAGGACTATCTTAAAGAATGCCTGAGGGGAAGGGGAAGAAAGCTCTCTGGGATCCCTCCTGCCCATTGAGGGGAGGCAGAGGGGGTGACAAATACAGAACTCCAAAAGCTGCTCTTGGACTGGCTGTACCCCCGCAGTCTCAAATGCTTATTGATCTACCAGATGTCACCCCAGGGCTCTTTCTACAAAAGGGAAAGCAGAGGGAAAGCAGCCAGGCTGGCATTGGCCCTGGAAGAGAATCTCTGGAGGGAACAGAACACTTTGGGCTTTTTTTAGCTGCCCTATTCAACCCTGGACTGGGAAAACACGGCCTCTACCCTCAAGGCATCCCTCCCTGCTCCTCCTTCCACTGTGAAAGGGCAAACATGACTGTTTACTCCAGTTACCTCTTCCAAGGGAAATAGGAGAGGCTGAGATTATAGGAAGAGGAGGCTGGCTAAAACAGCCCAGTCATACTCGAGGCAGACCTACCACTCTCTGGCTACAGATTTGAGGGTCTAAAGGATCAGCTGCCCCTCCCCCTGCTATCACCTACCTGTGGGGATGTTTCATCATCCATCCTCTGGAGTCAAAGACCCCCTCATCTTTTTTTTTACAGCTGAGGAAACTGAGGTCCAAAGAAGAAAAGAGGCTTGCCCAAGTTTATGTACAGCTAAGTAGTAGATAATAAATAGCAGAGCATGGACCAGAACCTAGATAAAGCAGTGGATAGAGTACTAGACCTGGAGTCAGGAAAACCTGAGTTTGAATCCTGCCTCAGATACTAACTGCATGAACCTGGCCAAGTCACTTCACCTCTCTTTGCCTCTGTTTATTTTTCACCTGTAAAATGGGGGTAATAATAACACTTGCCTCCCAGGGTTGTTGTGAAGATCAAATGATACCAGATATGTAATTATAATTATATATATAATTATAATTATATATATAATTATAATTATATATATATATATATGCTTGTTTCTTTCCTTCTGACCCCAAAATTCAAGATTCTGTGCACTTTTCTTTTATTCCTGGAAAGGAACTTAGTGGTCATATATAAGGCTCCCCTCACCTTCCCCCCCCCCCCCCGTCTATTGAGGTCAATGATGCATCCTCCAGGGGTTTGGCTGTCATAAATTAGGGAGGGGAGGCCCTAATACTCAGATCCAACCAAATGTAAATTGCCTTTAAAGGCAATCATGTCAGAAGAGCTGAGAACCCCTTGTCAGGTACAGGTTGAACTAGGTACACTCTGATCACAGGATCATCATAGAGAAGGAAAGGATCCGAAAAAAATATCTTTTACAACCCTTTCCTTTTACACATGAGGAAACTGATTCCCCTAGAGGTCAGTACCTTTCAGGTAGTAAGCACCAAAGACAGGCTTTGAACCCAGGGGTCTCCAATCCTAGAATCAATACTCTTTCCCCTAACAACTCTGAGGTTCTGTGGCCAAGCCTCATAGGGGGAGCCATTCCCCTTTATCAGTGGCATAGCTCTGAGAAGTCTGTCTCCTACCTCTTAACCCTATCCCTGATATCTGAATCATGTTCATGCCAGCTCACCTGTCCTACCCTTAATCCTCTCTCATTCTACCTTGTCTTGTTTTCATAAACTCAGCATTCACACAGGCCATTCATTCTTCATGCTTGGAATGCATGGACTCTCCATGTCCTCCAGGGGAAATCCTTGTCACTCAAGGCCTAGAGGGAGATGCTTTCTCCTGGCTCTGTTGCTTGAGATCTGTGTGAGCCTGGGTACTTGGAAAGACTTGTATGAACTGATGCAAAGTGAAATGAGCAGAACCAGGAAAACACTGTACATAGTAACAGTGACATTGTGTGATGTGTGAGCCTGGGGAAATCATTTCAGTTTTCTGGGCCTTGGTTGCCTTCCCTGTAAAAATGAAGAGAATGGACTAGATCCCTTTTATCTGTAACATCCCAAGTGAGATTCTTCCCAGGTTCTTTCCCCACCCCATCCTCAACTTTAATCCCCCCTCAGCTGAAAGTATTGTGGCCCTCCCAAGATTTCTCCTGGAGCATTTTGCCTCTCTCCTTTCACTCTATCCCCTTCTGCTCTTTTGTGTACCTCTTATGTCCTCCTCAGTAAACTGAGGGCTGCCTTCAGCACAAGCATGTGTTAAGTTCTTCATCTTTGTACCCACATCATGCTTTGTGGGTGATAGATGCTTAATATGTGTGTTAAGATAGAACACCCAGGAAAGAAGCTGCTTCCTTGGCAAAAGCATCCCTGAAAGATAGACTTCCTTTTTCTGCCTGAATACTCCCAGGAATGGGCAGATCTAGTCATCCTAAATCTGTCTGGTCCATTATTAACCACTAACCTGAAGCCTCCTCAGTCTATCCAGTCCAAAGTGCTCCTACCCACTTTGGAACTCTCCAAAAATCCTGTTGAGTATGATAATCACAATAATGTTAAAATAATAATTCATATGTTTGAGAGGAAACAGGGTGTGGTAGAAAGAGTACTGAATGAAGAGTCTGGAGGTGCCCTCACATCCCTGCTCATTTGTTGGCAGCCACATCCTCTTTTTCTGCTCATCTTTCTCCTAATGAGCTTCTCTGATCACGACCTTTTTTTTCAGAAACCTTTAATGACTTCCCATTATTGACAGGATAAAGTATAAACTCCCAATGTCATTCAAGGTTCGCCCACCAGCTGGCTCCCATCTACCTGCCCTGCCAGATCTCTTTTTACTTCTCTTCCCTAGCTCTATGTCCCAGACAAACTGGACAACCCTTCATCCCTTGTTCATAACCTGACCATCCTCATCTCCGTGTATTTGTCCATTCCATTCTCCTACATCCCATCTCCATCTGGTGAAGACCCTCTCCTTTCATCTTTCATGGTTCAATTCAGATGCCACCTCTTCTCTGAATGCCCACCCACCCTTCACCTAGGTCACATGTTGTCCCTGACAGTCCTCTTTCTTTCCCTCTCTCTCCACTCTCTAGTCCCTGAATTGGCACCCAAATGGAAGAGAATGGCAGACCAGCCCAATTAATCTCTCTCCCAAGGTAGAAATCTATTAATCCAATTAAGGGAGGAACAACTAAGCTGGGTGCCTGTTATCCCAGATTTTGGCCCATCCCTGTCCCAAACTGGAGCTCAGGTGGACGTTATAGATACCACAACAAAATAAATAAATAAATAAAGCTAGACAAATTTGAGAGATTTTGTATTTGGATAAACTCGGAGTTATGCATGTATGGGGAATTTCTTAGAGAGTCCAATCCTTCCTAATGGTAATTTAAAGCAGTTTAATTGCCGCCTCCTCTCAGAAGGTTCCTCATTTCTTCAGTTTCTTTGATCTACCCTGGGAGCCCACCAAATATTTTTTGGGTGCACCTTCTTATAGTCCTACCATGAATTATTGATGTAGGTGTATGGGTATATCCTAGCTGAGTATTCTCATTGGCCTTTCTCCTCAGGAGAAAGAGAAGAGCCATTAGGAAGGCTCCCCTAGGGGATTCTGGTACACCTAGCTCATCCATGAACTAAGTATGCCAATGATTATCGAGTTTACTGGTTATCTGCTACTTTAACATATCCTATACTAGACCATAAGCTCCATGAGGACAGGCACTCTGTCTTGCAGTACTATGTATCAGAGAGAACTCTTGGTTTTGGAGTCGGAAGACCTGGATGCCACTCTGGCTGCTGCATTTGCCACTCTGGCTGTTTTATCTGTCTGACTCCTCATTGCCATCTTGTCTTTCTTAGCCTCAGTATCCTCATCTATAAAATGGGGATAATAACCCTTGCACTGCCTACCTCACAGAGACATTATAAGGATCAAATAAAACATATAACAAGCATTTTGTAGACCTTAAAGCTTGTATAAATGTAAAATATTATCTAAAGTTTGTATCACTCCGAATACCTATTATAATGTTCTTCATACATGAAGTGATAAATAAATATTTACTGAATTCAAAGAAACATCTTTCTATGTCTGATTAATTATCCACACTTGTTCGGGCAGTGTATAATGGAAAGAGTATTAGATTTGAAGTCAGAAGGCCTGAGTTCAAATTTAGTCTCTGCTACTAACTGCTCCATGACCTGTAGCCAGGTGGCACAGTGGAGAGAGTGCTGGACTTGGAGTGAGCAAGGCCTGAGTTCAGATCCAACCTCAAACACTTACCAGCTGTGTGATCCTGGGCAAGTCACTAAACTTTTGTTTGCCTCAGTTTCTTCAACTATGAAATGAGGAAGATAACAATAACACAAACAATAACACCTATCTCCTAGGATTATTGTGAGGGTTGAATGAGATAATATTTTAAAAGTACAATGTAAACCTTAAAATGCTATTTAAATATTAGCTATTATTAAGTCACTTCTCTTCTACAACAATGAGCAAATGGGAACACTTGGGATTTGTCTCTAAAGTCCTTGGCATTACAGTTTACTGACCTGGAAATAGATTCCCAATCTTGGGAATACACTGTCCACTCCCACCCCCATATGTAAGAGCAACTCGGGTGGGGTGTGAAGAAACGGCCTGTAATATTGGACTACCGAGCTCAACTCCTGCATAAATAAACTAAATACATCCATTTTTGTCCATGAGAACAAGGTTCAAATCCAGGTCAGCAAAACCAAGGCTAATACAGTAAATTATCTCCAGCTGACAGTGGTGCAGTTAGTGTTTAGTAAGACATACTCAAACAAGATCACATTGGAGCTGAGGCCAGTTCATCTCCGGGCAACCTTGATCCATCATAGCTCACAGATGTGGGCACTTGTGAGACTGATGAGTTGTGTTGTTCTGTAACTGAATGTGAAGGATGTGAACTTGAAAGTTACACAATCTTTGTGAGAAAGTGCTCCCTGGCATCCAGCCTAAACTTGACCGGAATGGGACTTCCCTCCCCCGCATCCCTCTCTCCATCCCTTCACCTCATAGCATTTCCAAAAAGTCAAGTCATGGAAAAATCTGTTGTATTTCTCAACGTCGTTTATTTTGGTAAGCATAATAAAATAAGCCAGTTTCTTTAAAATACATACACACACATAGTGAGATACCTTGCAACTTTTAAAAAGTTAAAGTGACTTAGAAGTTATATCATTAGAATGTTTCAATAATTATATTTAAATCATTTTTAGAGTAAAATAAAATTCTTTTTGTGACTTGTCTGTTATAAATATGGCATTTTAAGGGATTTTATCAATTGTATGATATCTCTTACATTATTCTTATTCTATTTTAAAATTATGACTTTTATTTGAATAAAATAGAAACTAAGAATATTGCTTTTGTAGGTTGCTTTATGAAAAGTATCACAATTATTAAAGTGGTTTGTTACTACATAAAGTTGAGAAACCGCTGCCTTAAAATAAGAGGATTAAACAAAATAGTTCCTAAATCCTGTGCTTCATAGCCTAGTTCCAATGCTTCCTAAACTGTGTAACAATTGAAAAGGCACTTAAGTTTCTGTAAGCCTCAGTTTCCTATTTTGTAAAATGAGGATAATAACACTTACACTGTCTGTCTCAGGATTGTTATGAAGAAAGCTTTTTATAAACCTGAGAACATTAGAGAAATGTGAGTTATTATGTTTATTGTTAGGATTATGCTATGATAACCCCAATCAGACGTGATCTGCCATTTTTTAGATGATTTTGTGCAACTCTGCCTCACTTAAACCCAATTCATTCGAAAGTTAAAACATCACCCTGTGATGTCATTGGTCTTCTTTGAAAACAAAGCACAAAGAAAAAGAAG